CAATTTGTCTTTTTTTTCAACTTCAAGTTGTGATTAAAATTACTATGAGAGGAAACTCCCCCAAAATTTAGCTTGTATCCATCTTTTTAAGATCATTATTAATTTAACAATTAGACTTTATATTTTTAATCCAATTAAATTACAATATGAAATTTAAGCTTAAAAATCTTCAAAATTAATTAAGAAAATAGAACAATTAGGTTTAAGGGACTTTCTAACCATAGTCAAATTAGAAATTAGCTTTTGGATTGAAAATTAAGATTGTAGATTAATTTAAGATATAATTCCTAAGAATTAGAAGAAAAATTCTACTAAAATTGTAGTTTTATTATTAAGAAAAAGATTTAAAGTAATTCAAAAAAAAAAATCATAGACCTTCTAAATTTAATATTTTTTTCTTTTGAATTTTAAAATAGTCAATAAATCTACTAATTAGAAGTATCCATCTAATTAACAACTTAAAGATATGATTAAAGTCATAATTAACTAAAAAACTAATTTGAATCTATTAATTAATTATATTAACATTAAAATTAGTAAAAATATGTTAAAAATTACAAAAAAAATTATAACTAATCATTGGAGCTTTTAATTATGCTCACAGCTACCTTTGTCTTGTCTTGAGAATAGAGGCAAATCTTCACTTTGATGCTCTTTTTCTTTTCTCTTAGTTACTTCATGGACAAGTCTTGATGTGACATAGTTCATAGTAAGCTCTTTCATATTGATGGACTCCAATGCCACAATGAAGTAATTGTAGGACTCAGGAAGGCTCATGAGTAATATCAACACAATTTCTCTATCATCAACTGGTGTGTCAACAACTGCTAGTTGGTTTACAAGTACTTTTACCTTGTTGACATGAGCCATGAGATCATCTCTTTCTTCCATCTTTATTGTTAAGAACTTCGTTCTTATTCATAGAATATTGGCAAGGTTTCTACTCTCATAGATGTTGCAAAGAGTCTTCTATGCTTCTGTTGGTCTAGTGCAAGCAATTACATGTGAAAAGTTGGCATCATCAAGATTTATTGCAATCATGCCAAAAGCCTTTTTTTCACATCATTTGTACTCATTCTTTATCTTTACATCAGCATCGTCACTTGGAGGGTGTTCACTTTCATCAACAATGTCCCAAAGATCTAATGAAGCCAACAAGAGCTCCATTTTCTTCTTCCAATGGTAGAAGTTGTCACCTCTAAACTTCTCAATTACTCTCAAATCATCACCCTCACTTGCAGCCATGTCTAAAAAAGGGGTGTATCAAAGAAAATCAAAAAAAGAGAAGAATGAACTCTCAAAATCAACAAGAAGATGTTGCTATCTTAAAAACCTAGAATGCTCTCTTAATGAATAAACTATTATTTACACTCTTCAATCACTCTCAAATTTACTTATAAGACTCCTCACAAGTCTAATAATCTCTTGAATAAGCTTTGACTCTCTTTAATCACCTCTCTTCTTTTACAAATCACTTCTAATCTCACAAAGCACAAAGTTAGAGCACCAATGATGAAACTCAGCAAGGAAACATAATACAAGTATCTTTAAACATCAATCTAAGGTATCTAACAACCTCCAAGATTATGAATGCACTTAACAACAAGTAAGAGCATAACTACATCAATAACTAGATCCAAAAGGAGATTTAGAAGATATCAAATCCTAACATCAGCAACAACCATAAGATCTATTTTTAAAACCAATAAGACTTTAAAGAACTTCAAAACTCACAACTAAAGGTGTGTGGATCAATAACCTATTGAAAAATAAGTACTTTGAAGTCACAACTCTTAACATCAGCAAGGTTTCACACAAAAAGAGAGTATGGAGTAAGATAAATCTCTTATTTCATACACTTGTTACTTATAGGTGGTAGTTGCCAACCAACGAGGCAACTTCCATCGACATTATATCCATTTCTACTTAATTCAATTAAATCCTAGGTTCTTTCTTAACCTAGTCACCACCTACAAATCCTAGAAGCCACTATAATAACTTCCTTATATTCTTTGCTATCTTTTGACTACTAACAACTTACCTAAGGTAATATCTTTTACTAAGTAACTTACTTCAATAATTGATAGGTTGAAAAATTGGCCAACAAGGAGGCCATGTGTCAACATGTTGACTATTTGTAATACAAGTTGGACATATGGCGCACATCTAAGAAACTTGCCTTAAAAATTAGACATGTATCTTATAAGTTGGACGTATATTAGAGGTCTTATAGTATGTTGCCACATAGTTTTTACTTAAATAGTATATATAGAGGCAAGAATGATGCCTTCTTCACTCTTGTCAATTCTTTTCTTGCTTTTAGTCTAGTTTCAAGAATCTTATGTTTTTTAGTCTTTGGCAATAGCCATTCTAGTTCTTTCTTGAATATATATATACTTTCTTCTATTTTGTCACTTTTTTTTTTACAAAAATTCTACGAATTTATGTATTTTCTTCTAGTTTGTATCCTTGACACCTATTCATACAGTTTATTACGTAATTAATAGAATACATCAACCATTTTTTTTTTGACAGTTAATGTAATTTTTTTTTGATGAGTCATGTATTGACGCTTTCTTCCACGCCTTGTTTTCCTCTAGACAATATCATTATAAACAAAAGTTTGCTCATCCCTAATATTGAATCTCTAAATTTATAAAAATTACAAATTATAACAAAAAATACATAAATTTTTTGTGAATATACCACTTCTACGTGAGAACCTAAATTTTTTTTTAAAAAGGTGTAGAGCGATCTACACTCATAAACAAGGTCTATTTATGCAATCATAATATTCTTTATTGATTCACACATTTTCCATCTACAAAAGTTTAGTGGTTATTGGAAGAGGATGCAAAAAGTTAAAAAAAGTCACATTAAGTGACTCGTACTACATAGATGATCTTAGCTTAGTTGTCAATACGGGGCGCTATCCCAAACTTGAAGCACTGGAAATAAACTACTGTCATAACATTGGAACTGCAAGACTTCAAGTTGTGGGCTCTTCTTGCCAGTAGGAAAAAATTCTTCTATGGCATAATGAAATGGCAATATTTTTTAGTTCTTCATGCCATATGTTGAGGTTCTGACTTACATTAATTTATAATGAAGCAATGATTATTAATTGTTGATATTTTTAGGATATATTTTATAGTTGATGAAGGAACTTTTTCACTTATTGGTCACGTTTTATGGTTTAGTAGACACTTTGATTTGTTATTTTTTTTCTAAAGAGTTTTCCTTTCCAACTTGATGTACTTTGTCACTGAGAATTTCAAGAGCTTATACTCAAGTATTGTCAAAAAATAGGCAATGAAGGACTTGTGAAAGTTGGAAAAGATTGCAGTCAGCTTCAGGCCCTGCATTTGGTTGATTGTTCATTGATTGATTATTTTGTGATCTATAATATCACTCTAAGTTGTCACCAACTACGATGGTTATACATTTGATGCTATTACAAAGTCGATATTGTCATTCTTACTTCCAATAGCTAGAAATCATAAGTTTTGAATTTGTGGGATATTATTTTACACATTGCACCTATATGACTTCCTTATCCATTTACAATGTTCAGGTTGGTGATCGAGATATAATAACATTTCGAATCCATTGCAAGAAGATGACAGATTTTAGTCTCCATTTCCATAAGAAATATGTTTCAATCTATTGTAGACATTTATGATTTTAATCTACTTGGTGAATGTGTTTGTTTGTAAAGCTTCATACCATTATAGAAGAATTCATATTCAATTAGTTTATTTGTCTTGTTTATATCGTTGGATGCTGACTTAGCAAAATAGGAGATGATGTATTAATTGCAATATGTCAAGGATGTTACCAACTGTGGTTGCAAAATGTGAGTGGATGCCATTGAGTAGGTGATGTGGGATTAATTAGTATTACTCAAGAATGCTCTCTTCTCATGTACCTTGATGTTAGTGTCTGTTAAGTATGTTTACTACTGGACTTAAATATATGACAATATAATAATATTTTATGAGTTCTCATCAGCTTCATTATCATAATAGAATATACATGAACAATGTTTGACATTATTATCATCTCCATGATTTCCTCAAATATATTGCAACTCTTGAAATGGTGCGTCATGTGGTGTAGAATATAGAAGATATAGGCCTTACAATTTTAGAAATGGATTGCCTTCTTCTGGAGGAGGTCATTCTTTCATACTGCCATAAAATCAACGATGTAGGTTAGGCCAATTGGTGTCAAATTGCCAAACTATAGAATCATGTCATGTGGTGTACTGTCTATGTATAAGCTCAGCTAGCATGGCCATAGTGTCTATCGGCTGTAAGTCACTCAAAAAGGCTACGATTGAGAAGTGAAAAATTATTGACTATACTCATAGAAGATATACTACCATCTTAATGGAGGCCATCTAATGTGGTCATTAATCCAATTTTTTTTTTAGAAAGTACAAATAATGTCACATCTTTTTTTGATCGACCTATGATCAAAAAGTGGGTGTTATTCAAAGAAAAATGGTAAAAGAAATGAAAATTTGATTGTATTGAGATTACATTTTGCACCTACATGATGTGATTCATTGAACAAACTTTGAATCACTAGAATGCTAATCCCTGTTCTTTCCATTCTTCTAACTTGTTACAGTGTAACATGACATCCTAAGTATTTTTGATGCAATTCCAAAGTTACATTCATATTTACAGTAGAGGATACTACTTTGTTTGTTTGTTTTTCGCTTCCTCTGTCACCATATTCTATCACTTGCAATTGATCACCCAAGTCAATCGAATCCTTTGTTATTATTGTTGTTGTTGTTGTTGTTGTGTTTTTTTTTTTTTTTTTTTTTTTTTTTTTTACCTTACTTCTGAGACCAATGTTGACTAGATATTGTGTGTGTCGTGCTCAATGCAGTTGGGCAAACCATTGTTTGTTAGATGGTTCATCATCATCCCTTGGATGATGCAACCCATCAGTGTTCTTTTCATCCGAGGCGTCCAGGGTTTCAAGTGCACCACAGATCCTCGACCCCCTTCGACCCCTTAATCACTTCCCTTCGCCCTCTGGCTGCAAAATCCTGTGGTGTGCTCTCCTATCGCTTCGAATTGCTCGAATCTGCGCATACATACATGATGCATGCAAACAACGTGAGAGCAAGGAGCCGCGGATGGTAGGTAATCCTGTGGTTTTCTCTTTTTTTGGTTCCGAGATTGTTATGATGGCTTTCTATGTTTCGAGTGTGGTGCTCGATGTGATGCCCGGAAGCCAGACAATAGGGTTGATCGTAAGCTCATGTTTGGTGTATCCTATGCGAGCGCGTGAACAATCAAGAGGTTTTGGGTTTTTTAAGAAGATTGAATATTGTAGATACTGTAAGTTATAATGTTAATCTAGCGGAAGTCCGAATCTTTTGCTATTGACTTGGGCTGTCTGGCATTCTTGCGTTGATGTGTACTCAGTATTTGTTTGTCTGCTTGTTAATTTTGTGATTCCGGCTTAGGGATGAGGAATGACAAGAAGATGACGGGGCATTGAACAGCATATCACAATTGTATCCTGGCTAGACTTGTACGCAATCGAATTGCGAGGTAGGAGCGGATCTGAATGATGTATAGGACGGAAGACTTCTATAACCTGGAATATGGTGAGAACATCTTCAAACTTGTTCATCTACGAAGATTCTTAGTCCATTTTGAGGATTGAGCTTTCTTTGACTCACAGTTGCAATCTCTCTGTGTTATATGTCTTGAAAGACTAAATGTTCTCAATCTGTTTGTGTCATATATCTTGAATGACTCAGTGTTCTCAACAGAAGATTTGACCTGGGGCTCTTCCACTGCATGTAATACTGAACTTTAGTCGGAGATTACATTACACTTACAATGCTCTTGATTGAACTGTCAAAAGAACATCGTACTCAGATTTGGTAACCTCCCGACGAGCTTCACCGGGCTTGTTATCAGAGTCAATCCACCAGTTGCCTCGAGATAAGAAATTTCTCCAATGTCACCGATCAATCACAGCAAGAAGGATCACACAGGAACGACTTGTAACATGTTCTGGAAGACCACGTCTTTCACCATCGACAACAAGTCCAATTCGGAATGACACTTATCAGATAACGTCGTCCTAGGCAAGCATGTGATAGACAGAAGAACGAGGAAAGGCGATCCTGGATACTAGTTTTTTCTGTTTTATACTTTCTTCTTGTGTTTTTTTCCGCTTCTATCTCCCCATCTTCTATTTCATGCAGTTGGTCACCGAAGCCGGGTGAATCCTTTGTTATTTTTTTTATCTTACTTCTGATACCAATGTTGAGTAGATATTGTAACCCCTGTGTTCGTGTGTGTGTAGTGCTGAATACAGTAAGGTACACCATTGTTTGTTAGTAGGTTCATTATTGGGTCACCTCGGATTTGCTTGAACTAGTCTCTTGCATTCATTGGTGAATTTTGAATCTTGAGGTGGAAATCGTCGTCTTGGAGCCTCTCCATCTTTGCTTTTGGATGACCCCAGAATCAGATAAATTGGAGTTAGAACGAAACTTTTTGGCAACAATTCAAGTAGTAAACTGCTCCTTTGCACCTTGGATTACCCAACCAACTTATGAGAGAAGCAATGATGAACTGTGAAATACTGGTGTTGTTAAACTTCAGCAACAAGCGAAGGATTGTTCCAACAATCTAAGGTGACGTCTAAGATGAGAAACCACGTTACTTTCCCTTTATTGCATAAATTCCGTTATCTCGATTGGTTTTACCAGTTACTATACATCACAGAATCTGGTTTATTTTTAGAACTAGTTCAGTCAAGAATCTAGTCATGATATATTTCACATTTGCCTGAACTATTATAAATTATCTTCATTTATACTTAATTTGGATGTTTGTCTTTGGTACACCGTTGTTTGTTAGTAGGCTCATTCTCCTCCCTTGGATTATACAACCCATTAGTGTTCCGTTCATTCTGTCTAGGGTTTCAAGCAATCCACATATCTTTGCCCCCCTGCGTCCCCTTGTACACTTCTCTTCGCCCTCTCGCAGCAAAACCCTCGCTGCAGTGTGCTCTCTTCTCGCTTCGAATTGCTCAAATCTACTCTTAAATACATGACACCGTGACATCTTTGTGCCACATGCAAATAACGTGAGAGCGAGGAACCGTGGATGGTAGGTAGTCATGTGGATTTGTTTTTGGTTCCGAGATTGTTATGATGGCTTTATGTGTGTTTCGAGTATGGTGCTCGAGGTGATTCTCGGAAAATAGATAATAGGGTTGATCGTAAGCTCATGTTTGGTGTATCCTAGCAAG